CTTCAAATAAAATTAAAGGTAATCCAATGACTTATATACATCCTCAAAATAGTTTTGAATAGAAAATTCTCTTATATACTTGAAGGGGTACCTTGATTCATTATGTATTTAGTCGAAATAGGAACTACAATTCTGACTTAGCTGGACGATAACATGGTATGCAAGCCTAAATAATTCCTAATTTCGTTCATCTTTTAAGCTTATTAACACGCAAGATCAGGGCACATATCGTGCCCATATAAACACTCTCAAACCTTACGATTTTAATGAATTATTATTGCGTCATTTTATTCTTTTTTGCTCTGGCTTATAAAGTCGATCTTGAAACATTTATTATGTCAACATAAAAAGATAATGAGTTCTATGAACAACTCATATTTAATTTAAATTCTCTTTTGATATAAAAATCTTTGTTAATTTTCAAATTTTGGGACCATCCTATACTAACCGTTTATTGTTAACTATACAGGTAAGTATAAACAGTTATGTCTCTAGAGTTATATTTCCTTTCAGATTTAGCTTCTATTATTGTTTCGTAGATAATTTAAGGCTCATAGATAGGTCAATTTAAATATTTTTAAAGTAATTAAAATCATATATATATCATATCTAATGATTGAATACAAGTTTTATTTTTAATTTGGCTACAAGAAAAGCCAAATAATATATTCAAAGTAAATTCTTTAATCTGGATTTGATTTTTCATTGGGGTGTTCTTTGAGGCTGCGCATAGCGCTCCTTTCTATCCACTATTTCCTAGCGTACAAACTTCCATCGGTGCCCTAATGAGTTCGGCCTCAGGATCTAAAAAATTAACCAAGGAGGAAATTGTTCAGGGATTTGATCGACTTTTATACGATCAAAGAGCTATAGCAGCAAAGATTAATGAATTAAAAATTGATCAGCGAGAGCATAGGTAGGTTCCTTAGACAATGTTGCTATTGACCGAGCTAGCTAAAATATTTGATATGATTGCATTTTTATTTTAGGATGGTTATGAAAGTTTTGAGAGGCTGTGATACAGAAAGAACAGGGTATCGGCTTATTGATGGTGTTTTGGTAGAGGGAAAGGTTAAAGATATTCTGCCAGACCTTCAACAGAAAGAAGAAAAGGTTA